AATAAATGCTAAGCAAAACACTGCTTTTGTCAAATAAAAGAGAAAACTGCCCAGTGCGCTTCAAATATATACAAAACATGTGTACCCCCCCCCCCCCCTTTTTTTTTTCTATTGAAAATTAAAAAAAAAAAAAATCACTTTTAACTTTTTAAGAAGATAACAGTTCGTATTGAAACTTTGGTACCTGGTTCGGATTTCTAGCGATACATTTGGAAGGAGAATGAGCGTTCGGCAAATGCATAGTTTATCTTTGCAAAAAAAAAAAAAAAAAAAAAAAACCCCTGGATGACAACAAAAATCAGCACTCGCTCTCATTGCACCTACTCACATTCGGAAGAACCCCGTTGAATAAGTCCTGCCGCTTCCCCCTTACTTTTCTGTTGGCCTGGCTAGCACTATTTTACGCTGGAAGCCCTCCAAAACGTGCCCAAGCATTCTATCAGTATTGGTAGGCAACACCATAAATTTAAGGAAAGTAGCATATTCTACAATGCAAGTACTGTGTTTGGTCGTGACGAGGACGTCTTGAATTGATGTTGACAAATGAAAACCGAAACGGTGGTCAAATAGCACCCAAGATGCTGTGCGCGGCTGCTGATGTCACGCCGCAGCGGTGGCGCTGCTGTTGGCAGGGCGCATGCGCAGACGCACCCCTTGAGGCGAATCTGGTCTCTGCGCACGCGCGCTGCCCACACCTCGTGAGGGCTTGTTCGTAAACAGCGCGCTAGCTTAGACACCAGTATTTACGAGTCCTCAGCCTGCAGCGAGCGATCTCCTCAGCCTGCAGCGAGCGATCTCTCAGCCTAGGACGCACATGTTTGTCGCTTCGGAAGGCGAGCAAATCACGCGCCATACGCACGAACATTGAAAATGGATCCGGCCAGGAGACCTTTCTCTTTTGGAAACGTCTGCATAAAAAATTGCAAGCGTGGCGCCCCGACTGGTGCCCCATTTTGTGCCCCATGGGCCCAAGCACGTGCGGCTTGCGCGTGAACATAGCCTTGGCTAGCTTGCAATGGCACGGGCTTGTTCGCACGGGCAGAGACATGGTGGTCAACGTTACTGGAGCAAGCTCAGTTTCGCAGCTCCCTATTCTCGCCTGCAGAGACGATTGGCCCAGGTGGCGGTCACGAGAACTAGCGGCGCTGCAGTCGGATCTTGCTTTCCTGTCTCGTGCGCTGTGTGCTACCACTGCGTTGAGAAAAAGTACTACGTAGACTCTAACCAATTTCTTCAATGTGCCCGACGTTTCGAAGCCAGCTCGGCTCCTTGTTCACGGGTGACTGTATATGGACCCTGTCGTCGTTTTTTCTCTTCTCTCTTAGCTTTGTTTTCTTCTTCTGTTTCTGTGTGTGGCGCACTTTAGCCCGTGTATATAGCTGCTTGGAAGCGTTCCTTGGATCGGTTCAGATTGTTGCTTGTATTTTGTATGTGCCAAGTTTCTATTAAGAGCCGCTTTCTCCAGTTTCTTTCTGTATCGAGGATGGAGCTGCTGTCAAAGACAATGACGTGGCCGGTCTTCTGAGCATGTTCCGCCAGCGCGCTGCCTTGGATGTATTTCTTCTTTACGTCATACTTATGTCTACGCAGACGCTCGGGAAAGTTCTTCGTTTCCCCCATATAAGAGGCGTCGCATTCGGCACAAGAAAACAAAGCCAAGAGAGAAGAGAAGAAAACGACGACAGGTTGCTGCCTTTGGGCCCATATACAGTCACCCGTGAACAAGGAGCCGAGCTGGCTTCGAAACGTCGGGCACATTGAAGAAATTGGTTAAAGTCTATCGTAGTACTTTTTCTTATTACTTACCTAACCAGGCGGAGTTCCGCCGAAATGTTTACACCACGTTGAGAGCTTCCCTTTCTTTTTCTTTTCTTCCTTTTTTTTTTTTTTTACTTTCATGTGTATAATAGCAAAAAAAAAAAAAAAGATGATGAAGATGAAGTGTGATACACCACAGAGATCAGAGTCGGCGCATTGTGAGTGTTCTTTCTTTGAGTGTTTGAAATTTATTTTCGTGTGCGTCTGTTTCCTTGCGCTGTGAAGTGTTTGTATGAATCACCGACTCACCCAAGCTCAAGTATTGTTATTCAAACTTGGCGGGCTAGACAATCCGGAAGCAAAGCTCGACTGCAGCGCCTCTAGTTCTCGTGACCGCCACTTAGCCCACGTCGCAGGCGGAGCTGTGAAATTGAGCTTGCTCCAGTAACGTTGATGGTGGTGGCCAGTCGCCTAATTGCAAGCAAGGCGATTGGCCGCCGCCGTGTTTCTGTTAGTGCGGACGACTTTAGTGCGGGCAAGCCCGTGCTAGCACCCCAGCCCGTGCCATTGCAAGCATGCCAGAACAATGTTCACGTGCAAGCTGCATGTGCTTGCAAGGTTTGGAGCACCAGTCGGGGCGCCGTGCTTGCTGAGAGTACGTGATTAAGCAATGGCTGACAGGCGTTGGCGCGCGGACTTTTCAAAAGGGTCGATTATGCTCTACAATTTACATGGTGCGGCGCACACGTCTGAAAGAAAAATAATTAAAACGTGGTACGGTAACGTTCTGTGTGGTCGAAGATTCATTAACTCTTTTTGGCAAAGCAATCTTTTATATGTACTTTTTTACTATTTTTTTTTACATGCCATTTTTTTTAAGGAAGTCAAGCTGTATAAAAATTCAAAAGTGCAAACACCAAGGAAAAGAAGAGGGGACAGGACAGAGCGCTTACTCCAACTGGAAGTTTAATGCATTCCCCGAGGAAGACTTCCATTAAACTTCCAGTTGGAGTAAGCGCTCTGTCCTGCCCCCCTCTTCTTTTCCTTGGTGTTTGCTCTTTTAAATTTTTATACAGTGTGTAGCCAACTAGCCCAACAGTTAATTTTGAAGTCCCGCTTTCTGGTGATTTATGAAGGTCGCTTAAAAGCATGAGTTACGTCCCTTGCGATTTAGAAAGCAAATCAATTGATTTCGCAAGTTCTGATTTGAGCATCAGATAGAGAGAGACCCCAGATTAAGTTCCAAGTCGCCAGGATAATCTATCCAGTATCAACAACTGTTATGCAAAGTTTTACAAGGTCACACGAACAGATTCATTTTTCTTGAGCACTGTCCCACCTGACATTTCGCCGAGAGGTGATCTACGCAGCTTATACTAAACACGACGAATCTGCAACAAAAAAAACGGCAAGGTAATAAAAAAAAATTAAACTCATTCAAAATTTACGTTAGGCTTGTTCGCAGACGGCCGAGCTCCTGACGCTGTTAACTTAATTGTGGCGCCATCTCCCGATAGACGCAGCGAGCAGACAACACGCTCTGTTGTCTCCTTGCTGCGTTTATCGGGAGATGGCTCCACAAGTTAATAGCGTCGTTAACTCGGTCGTCTGTGAACGCGCCTAACGTGCATGGACTTGGACAAGCTTTTTGGTCTCATTCCTGCGCCTTCAACTCTCACACGCTAAAACTGACCTGCACAGTGCATATTCGGTGAAGGATTCAGCTTTTTATGCGCAGGCGCCGATCTTTCCGGCTCGTTTTACAGCGGAAGCCTTCTGCTTGGGACTCCCTGTACATGGCTTGGACTGACGTCACATGAACTGCCATTGTAGTCAACTTCCTGGTGACCGCGCATCTTCTGAAGCCTAAATAACGTGTCATTCCAGCTGTTTTTTTTTTTTTTTCTTTTTTCGCAAGAACATTTAGGAATGACCACCAGAATCATGCGTCGACCACAGCTGCGAGCTATCTGTACTATACCCTACAGCATAACTCTGTATAGAACTGCCAAAATGGAGTACAAGTCAACGGTAACCTAGTACATGGTTACTTCGAGGGCGACTTTTAATCTGCAGCGTTCCCCCCCTCCCCTCCCCTTTCCTTTTTTTTTTTTTTTTCATAAAAGATATGGTGATATTTTTGTTTTTGTTTTCCAGCAACATAAAATTCCGCATTGCCTTATCAATGCTTAATTTCATCCTAAATGCAGCACTAGCGGTTCGAACCAGATGCCATAGTTTGACAAGCAACAGTTTTTTTGTTTAAATGTGTGATTTTCCGAAACTTTCAATGGGTAAATGGGACCCGTTTCTGGTAGTTGGCATCATTTGTCTCCACGTATTCATGAGCTCTGTCGACCAACATTTTTTTTCCAATTAAAGTTTCAAAACATCTCTTATAACTTTTTGAATAAGATAATGACTAACTCTGAGACGTTTGCATTTCATCCCAACCGCTAGCGCTGCAATTGGGGAAACATTGAACGCTCAGTAATAAAATTTGTATAATTGCAGCTTTTTTTTTTTTTTTTTTAGAGGGGGACATTTTGTAGAAGGGGTTTCGTTGTCAGGAATTTATTTATACATTTTTGTACCGACGATTCAGCAAATTAGTGGTAGTTAACCCGAGTAAAATCAAAAATATTCTAACAATGCAAGAGACGCACACGCTCAAAACGTATTTCCGGCTGCAAAAACTAAAACGAAACAAAAAAAAAAAAAAGCCAACCCCGTAAACTTTTATAGTCATGCAGACAGTTATGGAGCCCGAAAGACATCTTGTTTAGGGCTCGCACCTTTCTCGTACGTTAAAGCGAAGCTACCAATGTCAACAAGATGACCGTGTTCGTCAAAACCTGTTGGACCTACGTCACAGACGCTGCAACCCTCGGTTGATGTGCTAGATCCGAACACGACACGCTGACAGGGTACCGCAAGAACCCCTTCAAAGGCCAGAAAAGCTCGGCAAACAATCGAGGCCTGGCGGCGCACCGGAATCACGCCCGAATGATAACCCAGGAAGCGAGTCAGCTCTGTGTAACGCCCGACAGTGACACGTGCGATACTTTCCGTGACAATCGAAAAACAAAAAGACTGACGCTTTTGTGGGATCGGCGGGAAACAGTACCCAAGCAAACGCGACGGGCGAGAGATAGCGTTTCAATAGCCCATCCCGGCACTGCCTCACTGAAAGCGACGAGCATAGATTTTGTTACACTGAAGTTTGGGCCTCCTCACGAGCCATGCGTTCGCCACCAAAACGTTTTAGGGAAGCGTTCCGGATGCTGTTGGCGGTTGTCCTGCTGGCTGAAAACGGCATGATGGCACCCAGAGATAAAGGTGAGTCAAATGAAAGTTGGGACCGAGGGAAAAGTGGTTTTGAAGGCAAGAGCGTGTTGCGTCACAAGCACAAAAAGTCCCCTACAACGTAGTCTCTTTATAATCTGATTTACGACTATCACGCTCAATCTTAGGCCGTGAGGGACGCGTCCTCCTTATGGGGCGCCAGAATCAACACTGCACTTTGTGCACTTCTTTTGAGGGAACGCAAATGAAAATCATATATGCCCTTGTAATTGAGGGAAAGGCGACCGTGCAGTTCTCGGGTTGGGAGTGCTAAGAACTGATCACTGCTGCACTGCTGGGAACAAAGTTGTTAATTTCCCGATTTCATTCGAGTTTCTTCGCTTTACAAAACTCAAACACAGGGTTTGATTTCGTGCGTCGAAGTGAAAGTGAGATTGTTTTTGGATGCGGGTAAAGACAAATTGTTGAGGGACGTGAGGCTGATAAGTATGGGCATGTCCGTAGGTGTCCGGTCTTCGTCGATCAGTGGCGGTGATTAATACGTTTTCATTAATATTGACGCTTCTGGCCCTATGGTTATTTCTTAGGGCCAGGGGAGAGAGAGAGAAAGTGAGAGAGAGGGGGGCGGGAGTTTAAAGGTGTTTATATGCCGGCAGATAGCATGAATTTCTCCTGTCTCGACATATGTGTTTGTGTCAACACGCTCTTTATCTTCGAGCCGGGTGCTTTTGTAGTTAAAGAGACAACTCTTTCAAACGTCCTGGTGTTCTACGTATGCTTTGTCAGTTTGTATTATCCTGCTCATGCTCCTATGAAGGGCCGCGCATAGGCTTAAGAATTTCTCGAAATTTCAATTCGACGTGGTTGTTTTATTTATGTTATTAAAATGTAACTCCTGTGGCGTTTGTTGCAATTTATAAAGCTATACCAGATCTCCACACCTTTTATTATTATCTCAAAAGTGCTGGCTCAAACGTTCGATGTTGCTGCGAGATTTGTTTTGGAGATGTGTTTCGCTGATCCGCTCAGTGTTCAATTTGCTACCATGACTAGTACCAAAGTTAGTACTAAAACTAGAACCTTAGTTCCACTATTAACAGATTGAAAGCACAACGTGCGTTAAGACTTAGATTCACTTTTCTAAGCCTCTGAACTGACCTTTTAAATATGTCATCCTGCGCTCAGAATGTATATACTCCTAAAATTGGCTCGCGACAGAGCATAAATCTGCTCAAAATAGTGATTAGTTGTGTCACTTTTGTTACGACGTGCGTTTCTACATACACTTATAGTTTTACAATTATTCAAGCCAATGAAGTTTGCGCATACGCTCTTACCCATTTCGAAGGTTAGGCATGTTGGTGACTTAAATACAAAAAACGAAGCAGGTACATCAAGGACGAACAAACTAATGCCCCTAAATAAGAAAGGTAGCGACATCTTCTCCCTCATCCTCTGACGCGCACACCTTTTATCTTGATGATTTGCTTTTTTTACACCCGCGCGTCGACTGTAGCGCCGCCTGGATTGGCCCAAAATAGCAGACGGCTTTCTTATACTTGAGTCAGAGCGCAGTCAAAGGCTGAAAGACACGCAAATATATACAGAGTCTAAAAGCGCACTGTCCCGGTCTACCAGCCTCGAAGGATGTGCTCAAAGGAAGACACTGAAAGCCGTGACGTTGCATAGCCGGCGTTATTTGATTGGCGACATGAGCTCATAGCATGCACTGCACTCCGACAGCATAGGCATTCCTCCTCCCTCGTTCTCTGACGCGAGCACCTTTTATCTTTATGTTTTGCTTTTTTACACCCGTGCGTCGACGGTAGCACCGCCTGAATCGGCCCAAGATAGCAGGCGGCATTCTTGAAAGGATGTCGCTACTTTTCCGTATAAAGGGGCTTTAGAACAAACGACTCGGACTCTTATGTGTGGTCTATTTGTCCTTTATGTCCCCCTTTCGTTTTCATTTTTTTTTCGTACTCTGAATCCTTTGCTTGGATACTCTTAATATCTCCCGGAGTGTAGTAGGTAACTTACGAATGCCTCTGTCCGAATGGGATGCACAAGTGAGAAGCGGTAACGTTCCCAGTGCGCATCTACTCCAACTTTGGTTTCGGAGTGCGCATAGAAATTTACATTACATGACGCATGTGCACTATTACATGCCGCACCCAACTGAGAGACTGCCTGCGTCCCAGGTGGCGGTGCTCAAGGCGACTTCCCCTTCAACTATCTGGGCGGCGTCATACGAGGGCCTAATGGCAACGCAAACCAGGTTTACAACTTCGTCTTCGGTAACGCTTCGTCGCTGAATCAACTCCTAAGGTTATACGCAGGCTTGTCCATACCGATCTTCCAGGCAACGCCATCGGCTTCAAGAAGCAGTGCCTCAAACCCCTCTCAATCTTCGACAGTCGCAGCTACGACGGTGGCATCTGTGTCCCCGAATAGAACTGCCCCAAACACAAACTCTACGAATCCTACCACAAGAATGAGTCCGAATGAAACCAACTCTGATGAGACACCAACCTCTCTTCCTCCTACTCAAGTGCCGTCGTCTGGTTCTCCATCATCGAACCGCCTGATAACGGAACCAACGACAACACGGCTACCAAGCACAGAAAGATCCACGGTTGTACATTCAGCGGAAACTGTGGAATCAACATTTTCGACCGCTCAAGTTAGTCTCTCAACGTTCAACGAGACGGGTCGGAATGAAGGAACTTTAGGAACAGGGGTGATATCAATGTCCTCTGTTTCGATTCAAGTGCCGTCATCCACCAGATGGGTGACAACCGGTATGGTAACAGAACCAACCGCAAGCGAGGTGCTGTCTACTGAAGGAGCAACTGCTGAGATTACAACCGAATCGGCAAACCAGAGTCACACAGACGTGATGCCTTTATCGCCGATTGGCAACACAACGCCAAACGATACAGGTATAACCGGATCGTCGACAACATATCAATCAGGTACAGAAAGCACAGAGGTCACATTTACAACGGAGGTAGATAAGCAGAACGTCACGACTGGGACATCAATTCCTGAAATGACCACGATGACCGTGTCGGCATCAAACAACGCGAGTGCCAGTGCGGAAACAACTACCAATCTAGGCACTGTAAATGCGACGACATTGTTTGCTGTTTTAACTGAAGAATCAACGTCTGGTTCTACAGTGTTGAACAACGTTGCAACTGAGTCGACGAGAAATCAGGATCCAGGAACTACTGAACCAAATGTCACAACTACAACTGAAACTGAAATCCGGAGCATTTCGAGTTTGGAAAGTACGAGTAGTATCGATGCTGACACGGCATCATCTTTTCATACCGAACCTGCGGCAACTAATGGGGAATCAACAAATATCAGCGAGAGAGAGACTACAAGAAATCTGAGACATACCTTCAGTACTGCCATGGAAAACTCTTCGCTTGAACCCACTGAAGAAATAACGGTGATATCAACAGCTGTGACCCCGAAATACAACACGGAGAGCTTAGAAACCACTAAAAACACGGAAGACAAATCTACGCCAACACCATCTCGGCAATTTTCAGAATCAGAATTCAGCACTGAGCCACCGGCAACTACGACCTTAAAGAGTGAACGAACACCTGAATCATCTAGTACAATGACTGAAGCTCCTGACTTTTCCTCTGCTGAAATAAATACTCCTCTATCTACCCCAGTAACGAGAGATGATAACGGCGCAACACCCGAAACTCTCAACCCTACCGGCGGTTATATTACCGATCATTCGTCGTCTATTACAACAAGAAATGAGGGAACCCATGAAACACCTAGCACCAAAACAGGAATAACTTCCTTTCTGCCTACAGAGGATGCCACCACACCACCAACTGTAACAACAGATGCAGAAAATAGGATGACACTAATCACAAGTGACACTGACGATTATATTACATCCTCCATTCCCCCTGTAAGAACTTATGATCCCAGCACAGAGCCCACTACTGAAACGTTATCTGCGATTAGTACATTAAGTGAACAAACAACGAGAGAAGAATCGACTACTACAGCAGAAATCACCTCGTTTCAACCTACCAAGGAACGCACCTTTATATCAACTGTGGGAACTGAGGAAGAAAGTAGCACAAGCGTGGAAACTACAATCACCACTGAACAAAGCATGAATCAAACGGCCACTGAGCAGCCTTCCAACACTCAACCCAGCACTGAAAGGGTGTCAACTATTACTATGTCCACAGAGCAAACAACAGGAATAAAATCAAGTACTCTAGTAGAAAGTAGCTCACCTCTTTTAACTGAAGAAAGCACATTTATGTCAACGGTGCTAACGAGAGACAGAAGTAGCGCAACCGTGGAAACTACCAGCAGTATTGAGGAAACTATGACACCTACAGTCACCGAAAATCCTTCAAGGACTGAATTCACTCCGAAAGAGTTGTCCACCCCTACAGCCATGACTGAACAGACGACAGAAGTACATCCTTGTACTATGCCGGAAAGCAGCACCCTCGTATCTACAGAGGTTAGCACATTTCCGCCAACTCTAGTTACAGACGAAGAAAGTAGCTCATCCATTGGAACTACAAGTAATACTGAAGAAAGCGTAGCATCCACAATCACCGAAAAATCTTTAGAAACTGAATCAAGTACTCAAGAGTTGTCAACCATTTCAATGATGATTATCACGACAGAGCAAGGATCGAGTACTGTAGTAGAAGGCACCTCATTCGTGCCTACTGAAGAAAGCACATTCGTGTCAACAGTGACAATTGAAGAAGGAAGTAGTGCGACCATAGAAATTACAGGCAATACTAGAGAAATAGTGACACCCACCGTAACCGGGGAATCTTTAAGTACTGAATCTAGCACTGAACACCTGTCAACGATAACTTTGATAAAGGATTCTTCAACAAAAGTGGAAGAAAGCACATCGTTCCTACCAACTAAAGAGAGCACATTTATAACGACTGTTTTGACCATGGAAACATTAAGCAGTACTGAGGAAACCATGACACCATCGGTCACCGAGAAATCTTTAGCTACCGAGACTAGTACTGGAGAGCCGTCAACATTAACATTGATATATGATCCTTCAACAGAAATGGAGTCGACCCCTTTGTCAGAGAGCACAACGGTCTTTCTTACTGAAGAAAGCACATTTATATCAGCTGCAGTGACCATGGAAACAACAGGTGGTACTGAGGAAACTATAACACCTCCAGTAACCGAGGAATCTTTAGGCACTGAGACTAGTACTGGAGAGCTGTCAACGATTACGCCTATCATCCAACCAACCACCGAAATGGAATCAACACCTCCCTCAGAAAGCACGGTTTTCTACCCCACTGAAGAGAGCTCCTTTGTGCCAACTATAGTAACAGGCGAGGAAAGCAGCGCAACAATTGAAACCACAGGTAACACCGAGGAGACCATGACACCTTTGGCCACCGAGGAATCTTTAGGCACTGAGACAAGCACTGCAGAGCTGTCAACAATTACGGCTATAACCGAACCAACTAGCGAATTGGGATCAACACCTTTATCAGAAGGCACTTCGTTCTTTTATACTGAAGAAAGCACTTTCATGTCAACTGCAGTGACGGAAGAAGAAAGTAGCGCAACCATTGAAACCACAGGTAATACTGAGGAGACCATGACACCTTCGACTACCGAGGAAGATTTAGGCACTGAGACTAGTACTGAAGAGCTGTCAACGATTACAGTTATAACTGAACCCACAACTGAAGTAGAATCAACGCCTTTGTCAGAAGGTACATCGTTATTTTATACCGAAGAAAGCACTTTCATGACAACTGCAGTGACGGTAGAAGAGAGCAGCGCAACTATTGAAACCACAGGAAATACTGAGGAGACCATGACGCCTTCGGCCACCGAGGAATCTTTAGGGACTGAGTCAAGTACTGAAGAGCTGTCAACAATTACGATGATAACTGAACCCACAACCGAAGTGGAATCAACGCCTTCGTCAGAAGGTACATCGTTATTTTATACCGAAGAAAGCACTTTCATGACAACTGCAGTGACGGAAGAAGAGAGCAGCGCAACCATTGAAATCACTGGTAATACTGAGGAGACCATGACACCTTCGGTGACTGAGGAATCTTTAGGGACTGAGTCAAGTACTGAAGAGCTGTCAACAATTACGATGATAACTGAACCCACAACCGAAGTGGAATCAACGCCTTTGTCAGAAGGTACATCGCAAATTTATACCGAAGAAAGCACTTTCATGTCGACTGGAATGACGGAAGAAGAGAGTAGCGCAACCATTGAAATCACTGGTAATACTCAGGAGACCATGACACCTTCGGTCACCGAGGAATCTTTAGGGACTGAGTCAAGTACTGAAGAGCTGTCAACAATTACGATGATAACTGAACCCACAACCGAAATGGAATCAACGCCTTTGTCAGAAGGTACATCGTTATCTTATACCGAAGAAAGCACTTTCATGTCAACTGCAGTGACGGAAGAAGAGAGCAGCGCAACCATTGAAATCACTGGTAATACTGAGGAGACTATGACACCTTCGGCCACCGAGGAATCTTTAGGCACTGAGTCAAGTACTGAAGAGCTGTCAACAATTACGATGATAACTAGACCCACAACCGAAGTGGAATCAACGCCTTTGTCAGAAGGTACATCGTTATTTTATACCGAAGAAAGCACTTTCATGTCAACCGCAGTGACGGAAGAAGAGAGCAGCGCAACCATAGAAACCACAGGTAATACTGAGAAAACCGTGACGCCTTCAGTCACCGAGGAATCTTTAGGCACTGAGACTAGCACTGAAGAGCTCTCAACAATTACGGTTATAACTGAACCCACAACCGTAGTGGAATCAACGCCTATATCAGAAAGCACGTCGTTCTTTTATACTGAAGAAAACACCTTTATGTCAACTGCAGTTACGGAAGAAGAGAGCAGCCCAACCATGAAAACCACAAGTAATACTGAGGAAACCATAACACCTTCAGCCACCGAGGGATCTTTAGGCACGGAGACAAGTACTGAAGAGCTGTCAACAATTACGATTATAACTGAACCTACAACCGAAGTGAAATCGACGCCTTTAGCAGAAGGCACGTCGCTCTTTCCTACTGAAGAAAGTACCTTTATGTCAACTGCAATTACGAAGGAAGAAAGTAGTATGACAATGGAAACCACCAGCAATACAGATGAACCCGTGACGCTTTCTACGCCTTCCGTCACCGTGGAATCTTTAGCTACGGAAACCCCTACAGAATTACTGACGACTAAGACACTGATAACCGGAGAAACCAAAGAATCAGAATCTAGTACACTAATGGAAAGCACCTCGTTCCGTCGAACCGAAGAAAGCACCTTTTTATCGACAGCTGTGACGGAGGAAGCAAGTACAACCACAGGAACCATAAGAAGTACCGAAGAAAGCGAGACGTCCTCAGTCACTGAACAGACTTCAGGTATTGAATCTAGCACTGAACCTTTATCCACTTCAACAGTAACTGGATGGACAAGAGAAGAATCTAGTACCCTAGTTGAAAGTTTAACAACCAGCCTTGAATCGAGTACCATCGTAACTAACGGGAGAACTGAAGAAACGACAGAAGAGACGTCCAACGTAACATCTGAAAGCACTTCTGCCTTGTCAACTCAGGAACCTACGTCTCCGTCAACATTAGAAACTGAACCAGGAAGCTCCACGACTTCAGGTGCCACAACTATGACTGAAAGCAGTGGCACTGTTAGTGTGACTGCTGAAACGTCAACTGGAACCGAAAAACTCTCAACCGTTGAAATAGGCTCAAGTGAATTACCGAACTCTACGATGATGACAACTTTAAATACTGAGTCTTCGATTGTACAAACAACACGTGTCATCCTTGAAACTACTTCGCTTCGTTCAACAGAGGAACCTTCAACCATGTCTACTATGGCAACAGAGGAACAGGGCAGCACGACTTCAAGATCTGCAATTACTACGGAAAGCAATATGACATCCTCATTATTAACTGAAGAGTCATCTCTACCTGGGCACGAATCTACCATTCAAGAGCCCTCAAGCACTACGGTGACGGTGCGAGAAACTGAAAAAACAACATTACAGATGTCATCTACGGTCCTGCAAAGTACTACCCTACCAACCAAGGAAGAAACAACAGTTTTTTCTACAACCAGTGAAGGGTCTGCTACTCGTATTACAACGTCAACCGTAACTAGCGAAAGTAGTTCTCCCCCAGTAACCGAGATATCAACAGGAACAAGTAAGGAACCTACACAACAGGGGTCAAGCACAACAAATAATGAATCCACTACACTTCAACCCACTGATGGTGCTTCTACTACGCAGTACGAATTAAGTACTATTGGTATTTCACAAACAACAAGCACCTCCATTCCAACATCCCTCACAAGCGAAATGTCTCCTACATCAGAATCTACAATCACACCAATATCTACCAACACGGAACAGGCGTCAAGTACAAGTGTTACGTATATAACTAAGACGACGATCCAAGAGAAGACAACGGTAGCGCCCGAAAACATCTCTACTACAGTGACGTCATCAAGTTCTCCAACTGAGGTGACTACCCAATTCAGTGGTCAAAGTACGACCTCTAGCCGGGGCTTGGAAACCACTGAAGCGTTCCCAACCACCGCTCAACAATCAACCGTATCACCCACAACACAAACATCCATTCACGAGACAACTGAACAACCGTCGAACACGAGCACAGAATCCACGACAGTTGGAACGATCAGAACCACATCCACAAATACCAAACTTAACACTGAAAGTACAACACAGATGACAACCAAAGGAGAAGTGCTGACAACTACGGCAAACCAGACAAGTGAAGCGACAGCGAGTCCAACAGCCGCAACACCAACGCGCACGGAGCCCAGCAGTGCTCCTACGATAACAACTACTGTTACGACGACGACAGTAAGAACACCGTCAAGCACGGGAACTCGAATGTCGTCTTCATCTGTCTCTCTATCCACAGCCGAACGTTTCACAGACGAGGGGATTAGTGGTGGCCCCGTTAGACCTGGGAGTGGGCTCTACACGGACGAAGGAATCAGTGGAGGCCTTTTAAGCTTCGGTCAGGATCAGTCTTCCGGTGCATCATTGGGCACTCTTCCCACTTTCACGAACGATGGAATTCAAGGAGGTGTTATTGGAGCTCCTCGAGGTGGCCTGGTTAATCCAATAACACGTGAAGATAATGATTTGCCATCCAGAGACGAAGGTGTTCGAGGTGGCCTGATAGATCCAGGTGTTCTGTATGGATAGTCAGCACATCCATCGCTAAAGGTGTGCATCATTATATGCCCATGACTTCGCATATGCATGTGTTTGCAAATAATTTTACTCATGTGTGGCTTTGAATGTCTAGCCTGAAAAGCATTCGCACTTCTCCAGAGCTGATCCTGCGCTTGTGCTTCGCCTAGGTGACCTCTGGGCTCGAAGTGGACCTGAGGTGATGAGACGCACGTTGGTGAAGAGGGCAGTTCCTCTCTTACCTTCACCAGATTCACCAGCTGCCCCAGGTGCTGCAAGCCTCGCCCCTTCTACAAATACTGCAATGACTTCCCCACAAGGTGAAAGCGACTCTACAATCACTATCGCTCCACCAACACTCACAGTGGCGTCAGAGGTCACGGCACCATCAACACGAACCGGTGCAGAAACACCGACGAAAACGTCAACAGAAGAAACAAAAGGGCCGACAACTCACCAAGGCACAATGAATGAAACAATGATGATGGTCACAGAAGTGTCAACGAGTACATCGGCCTCAGGGTCGACGATGGAAGAGCAAAGAATTACCACAGTCCCTGTAGTGGCCACGGAGTCGCCAACGACAACGAGCGTAGTGTCGACTCAGGGAACTAATGCATCAGCGACGTCTGACCATGCGGCCACAGGCGCCTCGATGGGACCAACATCAACAACGGCAGTGGTGTCATCGGTTTCTTCGGTGTTCTTTCCCAATCTACCCCAGATGCCGCATCCCATAAGTCCGATGCCGCCCGATGAGATTTCTGGAAGAATCGGTGTGGTCAGTACCCCCAAGAACCCTGTAGGTTCCTTAAACCTGCCCACTCTGGCCCAACCAATTAAGCCGTCTCCTTTCTACATTTGACGCCAAGCTCACATCGAGCTAACGAAATCTACAAAGATTAGTGATGTGGTTATTTTTGTGTATCTTGCATTTTTACATATATTTTTGTAGCTTTCTCTAGAGTGCGGCCTTCAGGCTAAAGTACACTACAATCCTTCTCCTTTTGAACAAGGTCTCAAGCAAATGACTCTAATTAACACTACCATTTTTTTAATCTTTCCACCATTTCGCATCACAAGAGGATGATTGTGAAAAATAAAACACGTTAATGTTCTGTGTCACCGACTTTTCTTCTCCCCTTTTCTAATGAAAGGAGTGCAGCGCAGAAGGTGAGATCATGGCTTTTTTTACGTCTCTGGAATTGCTTTACAAACGACGAGGTTAACCTGTGTTTTCTATTCTGATTGTTTGCTTATTTGGTAGATATTAGTGAAGTTGTTAAATATTTTTTTTTATTGATCCCGTGCATGGGTACAATAATGCACCCATAAGGAACCCTCATTCACGGGTGCACATTGGTCGCAAATTGATAATTTATAGCAAGAAATGAGCAAGCTCTATTGAAAGAACTCATTACACACCTATACGACCCATAAGCATAATGCCCTTAAAGTAACCACAGGAAATATTCTCGCATTATATGTATTTTTCTCAATGAAGAACGCGGAGAAAGGAGGCCCCAGCAAAATGGAAGATTTCGGGAAGGGGGGAGGGGGGGGGGGGGGGGAGGCGGGACCCATGCCCCCCCCCCCCCCGGCTAGGTGCCCGGCTTTAAAGATGTAAAATGTAAAACATTCATTACCAGACACGTGATTTCTTTTTAACTGTGCTTGTTGGCTCATCTCTTCACAGTATAGGCGCAACGAGTCAATCACGCGGAACGGTTTGAAGCCTCCAAAGCATAGACCTCGTTTACAAAGCGTTCACTCCTACGCGGATGTTTGGTAGAGCAGAAGCGTTCCGGTGTGAAAACAGGTCGTCACAAACATCCGACCTCGTCAAAAGCATTCTAAAATTTCGTCGAAAACCAAGTCACCCCAAACGACACGCCGGAAGTTCCGTACGTGTTCCCGTAAACATACAAAAAAAGCTTTGTTTTGCTAGCTATGACGCGGGCCTGTGTGTAAGCGCTCCGTCCATAGCCCTAGCGAATGACGAGGTCGATTTTATTAGGAAGTCGGGCAACTACGTGCAGAGTGTGTCGGCATGATGGGGGAGGGGTGTGTATCGGGTTGATTGTTTTTGAGCCTATCGGGTTCTTTTTATGTTAACTTCTGTACCAAGCACAAGCAAATATTTCAGTTGTAAGTCAGCGGTCTGTCTGTGTTCTACTTCCACTGGTCCTTCGTCTTCTTTTTTTTGCGCTGTTTTGAAATTATTTTGACATGACCAACCAACTAGCCCAGCTACACACCTCGTTGCCAAAAGCTCTCACCCATTCTTTCACGACCTCATTCCTGACAAAGCATGATGTCCAACACTTCAAAGTGACAACTTACGCGTATACGCATTTAATGACGTGGCGGCGAGTACCTTACCTTTCGCTTCAAAATAGGCCAGCGAGAAGCGCAATGCGTATCGTGCTCGTGACGCAATCGCTCCTTTAAGACCAAGGATACTCAGTTGCGAGCCTTGCCGCTCGGTGGCGTCAACGCGCGACAACCTCGCCTAGTAATCTGAGGACTGCGCGCCCTATGTCCTATACACCTTTGCGCACCCCGATGACGTGCCCCTGGCGCACCCCAGCATGGTGGAAACGTTACGCGGCGCCAGCATTGGTCAAAATGGCAGCGCACAGGAGCCTTTCTTGCAAACGTGTGTACATAATACATAGCTTGCCCCTTCACGTGATTCGTGGCCATGCCAGTATTTTATGTGCCACGAGCGTTCGGTTCACCGTGCGAGTGTCGCACCGCAGCTTGAGGGAACCAGTAAGTAGAAAGAACCGGCAGTGCCCAGCAATGGCGACACCTGCAAGCTACGTAAACAGGGCATTTACTGGTTGCCATATTTGAGCGCGTTGTTCACGGCGCATTCCCGGAGGGGGGGAGGGGTATGGTTTTTCGATCGATCTGCTAACTGAGGTCTGCAAAGAATGGCGGTCTTGATGGTATAGAATACACGTTGCAGAAGCACTGTGGAAGTTAACATATACAGCGCAGTAGACTCGTTGGCGTTCTCCGCCATGTCACATTCAGGACTAAGTAACTCCGCGAGAGGCGCTGCTTCTTAGAGGCCGATGACGTGGCGTCGATCCAACGGAGCTTCACAGACCGCCACCAGGCGAAATCTTGAAATCTCTTCATTCGTTTTAAAACCGACGAGTTGCGGAGTGGGTATTTGCCTCACTGAGGACTTTGGGGTAAACTAGAATTCCACAATATATATATATATATATATATATATATATATATATATATATATATATATATATATATATATATATATATATATATATATATATATATACATAGATACAGGGTGTTTTTTAAGCTTAACATATTTGTTTAAAAAAAAAGACGTGAAAGTTACACGTCTTTTTTGGGAGTAGTAACAATCAGTTCACTAATTAACTAAAATTCGTTAATTAACTTTTTTAATTAATGGAAATAGACATATGGTTTCAATTAGAAACTTGCTCAGCGTCATCGAAAACCCCTAAAACAGCAATTTTCAGAAAGGCTTTGAGCGCGTGAGAAGCGTAGTAGTGCACTAAAGTTACCACTCGTTTAGCAGGTACAAAGCTAGCGGTCGCGATAAGGCGCCCGCGCGATTTTTCCGTCTCTTATCTAGCCCCAGCCTTGTACCTGCTCCACGAGTGGTAACTTTAGAACAATACTACGCTTCTCACGCGCCGAAAGTCTTTCTGAAAATGACTGATTTAGTGGTTTTCGATAACGCTGAGCAAATTTCTAATCGGAACCATATGTCTACTTTCATTAATTAAAAAGTTAATTAACAAATTTTAATTAATTAGACGTCTGATCCTTACGATTAGCCACCTATATTATGTCCCCCTAGCCGTACAGCTCACCCCCACAAGCGGCATAAGTGTAACTTTCACGTCTTTTTTTAAACAAATCTGTTAAGCTTAAAAAAAATACCTATATATATATATATATATATATATATATATATATATATATATATATATATATATATATATATATATTTATTTATTTATATAGGGTGCACTGAAATGAAAACACAATCGTGTTGAATCGTGTAAGAGTATTAAGCATGTTTCACATGCAGCGGTTTTGGCCCTAAAGCGGCGCGATTTCTGCCGTCGCGGCGCTCTGGAAAGCACCAGCGGTTGAGCGGCACGAGCGCCGCGACGGCAGAAATCGCGCCGCTCTAGGGCCAAAATCGCAGCATGTGAAACACGCTTTAGAATATTTAAAGATCACGCCGGCTGAACTTGCATCGCTCGAAGAACTTTCCTTTTGTGAGCGCCTTCTCTGCTTGAGTTTGCTGGAAATACAGCCACTTTGATCCGAGGCAATCGATGATGGCGTTGGTGACATCAACAAGTACGCGACTCACAAAGCAGTGGTGAACACCAATGTTTTCGTCACTCCCGACGATTCCATGGAAGTTGCGAGCGGCGTAGAAGCGTAGAGCTGCGAGGACTTGTTGTTCGACCGTCAGTACATGGGATCCTTCGTGACGCCGCTGGAGCTTTCCGCGAAACTGGTCGCACAGCCAGCGAGTCACCCCTTTGGTCAGCCGGTATTCGCCCACAAACCTCGCATCGCTCGTCTCGAAAGCTTCCCGGTGATCTCTAAAAACTCGATCCGCTGGCGAACCCAACAGTAGAGATGCATATGTTAGGGTCGCCATCTTTTACGACGTAGAACGTTCTCCGGCTTCGTCTCGACCACTCAGTTAACTGCATCGTCAAGTGCATCGTGACGACATTTTGACGTCACCTCCAACTGCATCATTTTAGGAGCATAGCTCGAACTGCAAGGGAAAAACTACATTTCAACGTCATGTCACGTGACCCGCGAGAATAGCCAGTCAGTGCCCTATACAGTTTTCTACGTCATTTAGTTTGCGTTCCAGCATAGATAGACTGGCTCTTCAAAACATCACCTCCCCCTAAACACCAATAAAGAAAAATGTTAGTGTTTGGTAATTTTAAAAACGAACAACGCAATGTCGA